CCGCTCGATCCCCCCAGCAAATCAGAGGTGAGTTCAAATTCAAGCACGAGGACTGGTCTCGCAAAGGAGCTGGCCTTTACATCTGGCCGCTGACAAGCTAGCCGATGGATTGACACTTGCGCTTTCGCTAGATCATTCTCGCCACGGAGACTCTGCGTCCATGGCTGCTCAAGAGCGGTGTCAAGGCCTTCAAATTCGTCAACGTCTTTCTCGCCGAGCCTGCCAAAGCCGATGTGATCGCAGCAGGTTTCTTCCCTCGTGGCAGTGATGCCTCGTCCAGCGAGATCAGTGGCGCTGCGCCCATCGAACGCCTGATAAATGTCCACGTCATCGATCTGGTCAAGAGCGACGCTTTTGCTGCTGTTCTCAAACTGGACTCGAATGCTGGCACGGCAGAGATCAAGGGTGTGGACAAGCTCGATGCGGGAATTCAGCCTGCGCTCACCATCGAAGAGCTATGCATGGCCGAAGAATGCATTCGCAAGGATCCCCGCGTGATCAAGCTGGCTGAGGAAGTTGGCGTCAAGCCTGACCAGCTGTATGCCGAGTGAGTGGATTCTCAAGTTTCTGACTCGTCAGAGTCCATGCTGATAATTAGCACCACTAACGCTCATTGCAGCGGTTGGTCGATTGGTTGGGACAAGCGCTTTCCCAACAAGCGTATCCAGCAGTGCTTGACCTTTGCACGTTTTGGCAAAGATGAGGTGAGTTTCACCCCTCTGTGATGCTGTTGCTTCACTCCAACAGAAGAGCTTACGAGATCTCTGGAACGAAACGAACTGCAGAACCTTTACGCCCATCCAATGGACTTCTTTCCCATCCTCGACAACAACACCGGGGAGGTACTTGCTATCGACTTTCCCCAGCACCGCAAGGGCGGCAAGCTGCCCGGCGGCACCGAACCCCCAACCGAGGCGAGCTTCGGTCCGGCTCCACGTGAGCGTATCTCACCGCCTCTCGAGCGTCACGATTACCTTCCGGAGCTGGCAAATGCCGGACCTCACAATCCCGAGAAGCCACTCAGCATGCGTCGGGATCTCAAGCCTCTCAGTGTCGTGCAACCCGAGGGAGTCAGCTTCAAGCGCAACGGCAACGTCATCGAGTGGCAGAAGTGGAAGATGCACGTCGGCTTCCACCCCCGCGAGGGCCTCGTTCTCTCGACCATCTCGTACGGAGATACGGAGGCTCCCGGCGCGAGTGCCAGTAGTCCCAAGGAACGACCGCTGTTCTACAGACTGAGTCTGGCAGAGATGGTTGTACCGTATGCGGAGCCTGCGCACCCTCACTACCGCAAATTTGCCTTCGACGTTGGAGAGTATGGTCTGGGATACCTCGCCAACTCTCTCTCGCTGGGCTGCGACTGCCTCGGTAGCATCGAGTACATGGACGGAGTGGTGGCAAAGCACGACGGCACTGTAGAGGTCATCGAGAACGCCATTTGCATGCACGAGGAAGATACTGGCTTGCTTTGGAAGCACACCGACTACAGAGTTGGTGGTCGCGCCCACAACGTCCGTGGACGCAAATTTGTCATCTCGATGGTGTGCACCGTAGCC